ACTTTACCGAAAGACCTAAAGAATATGTGTTAAGATGCAAACAACAAAAGACATGCTCTGGTAGTATATGATGCATTGTCTTTGAAACTGATTGGTTCACACCAGAGATAGCTTTCTTTAGATAAATACATGATTCCTTGCAAAAGGTTGTAACATTTTAACACAACTGTTTTATTGCCAGAAAGGGTAAAACCTATTCTTATATTGTGATACTGGCAAGGGAGGTGCCACTATGTAGCTCCAAATATACAGCAGGCATCAGGGTCGAGTTTGAACCCACGGCCTGCTGTATACCAGGCGAGGTAGTTAACATCTCCCAGCCACCGTGATGATGATGAGAGAGAGAGAGACACACACAAAGATACAACCCACGACCTCCTGTATACCAGGCGAGGTAGTTAACATCTCCTAGCCACCGAGATGATGATGAGAGAGAGAGACACACAAAGATACAACCCACGATCTCCTGTATACCAGGCGAGGTAGTTAACATGTCCTAGCCACCGTGATGATGATGAGAGAGAGAGAGACACACAAATATACAACCCACGACCTCCTGTATACCAGGCGAGGTAGTTAACATCTCCTAGCCACTGTGATGCTGATGAAAGAGAGACACACACAAAGATACAACCCATGGCCTCCTGTAAACCAGGCGAGGTAGTTAACATCTCCTAGCCACCGTGATGATGATGAGAGAGAGCCTAGTCTTAAACGTTGTTAGATCAGAGGACGCCAAAAGGCGAACAGCACAAAGACAAAGCATTTTGTTTGGCATGTTCACCACAAATAAATGTGGTTAATGCAGGCATGGTTGCTTGCAAAAGGATTCTGTTTGGTGTTTTCACATCTTAACAACTGTTTTATTGCCAGAAAGGGGTAAAACCTATTCTTATATTTTGATACTAGCAAGGGAGGAATTAAAATTGGCCAGACATCCGAAACAGGACCACATTGAAAATACAGTTTAACATTCATGATCACTTGTCTTTTTTTTAATGAAAATTACTTCCTGCCATTATGAATCTAGATTTGAAGTTTTCGTGACTGCAGGGATCCAATACTCTTTGGTTCTATTCGGTAAAGTCACGTGGGTAGAAAATAAAATGGATTAAGTTAGATCACGTGACGTTTCGGGCGCAACGCAAGCGCCCGTCATCAGGTGGAACAACCACAGCAACAAACCGAAGCGCAATTGTTACTTGCTGTGGATGTTCCACCTGATGACGGGCGCTTGTGTTGCGCCTGAAACGTCACGTGATTTAATTTAATCAATTTTATGCCATTTATGAAGTGAGACCATTATGATACGTTACACATTCGCTCGAGGACTGCATTGCACGCGTAAGTGTTAGATTTGTTGATTCTTGCATTGGTCACTAAAGCAGTGTCTGTCATGCAGTGAGTCAAGCTTATACTGTACGTTTTATTATGTGTACAACATTATTGAGGCATGGATTTATAAATTTAAAATAAATTCTTACGATGATAATTCAACAAATTGTCCATCTAAAGACGCGATTACGCATTTGTTATTCAAATGATGTGCTCTTTAGAACATTTAGCCCAAGAAGGCAAATAAATGCACACACGAAAATACAGTAACTAGATAATGCAAACGGAATGGCAGTTTATTATTGGAACGAACTGTAACCATAGATTTGTGTATGTTGAACTTCTTTCGCACCGTACGTAGCCAACTGTGCTAATCGGAGATTCGGGGAAACCGTGAGGTTGTGTTGGAATGACGTGGGAATCCCCACACTTTACCCTAACAAATGCCACTTGTGCTGATTGACCAGCTGTGGTTAACCCATTTACCCTGCTGAGTGGACAGAGTGGGATTTAGGAGACTTGCCCCTATTGTTTCAGCTTCATCTGGATTTGAAGTGCTACCTATATTACGAGGTCACACTGGTGTCCACGCAGTGCGCCTGCCTCAAACGAACCACCAAATACCTCGCTAATCCCATTAAGGGGCCTCAACCATCACGTGAACTCAGGACATCCTCGCCGCAGCGGGATCTGGCTCGCCGTCGAACAAAGATGGTCGCCGCATCGCGCGCATTGAGATGCGCATCGGTGGCCGTCTGGAACGCTCTTCCGTCTGATGTTAGGAACCCACGGGAGCCGTGCACTTTAAAATCATCTAGATTCGTAACTCATTTCTTGAGAATTTCTTGCTGTGTTTGGTGTGTTGTGTTTGGTGTGTTGTGTTTAGCGTGTTGTGTTTGGCGTGTTGTGTTTAGCGTGTTGTGTTTGGTGTGTTGTGTTTAGCGTGTTGTGTTTAGCGTGTTGTGTTTGGTGTGTTGTGTTTAGTGTGTTGTGTTTAGTGTGTTGCGTTTAGTGTGTTGTGTTTGATTTGTTGTGTTTAGTGTGTTGTGTTTAGTGTGTTGTGTTTAGTGTGTTGTGTTTAGTGTGTTGTGTATAGTGTGTTGTGTATAGTGTGTTGTGTATAGTGTGTTGTGTTTGTCGTGTTTAGTGTGTTGTGTGTTGTGTTTGTTGTGTTGTGTTTGTTGTGTTTAGTTTGTTGTGTTTAGTGTGTTGTGTTTAGCGTGTTGTGTTTGGCGTGTTGTGTTTAGTGTGTTGTGTATAGTGTGTTGTTTGTGTTTGTTGTGTTGTGTTTAGTGTGTTGTGTTTAGTGTGTTGTGTATAGTGTGTTGTGTATAGTGTGTTGTGTTTGGCGTGTTGTGTTTGGCATGTTGTGTTTGGTGTGTTGTGTTTAGTGTGTTGTGTTTAGCGTGTTGTGTTTAGCGTGTTGTGTTTAGTGTGTTGTGTTTAGTGTGTTGTGTTTAGTGTGTTGCGTTTAGTGTGTTGTGTTTGGTTTGTTGTGTTTAGTGTGTTGTGTTTAGTGTGTTGTGTATAGTGTGTTGTGTTTGTCGTGTTTAGTGTGTTGTGTTTGTCGTGTTTAGTGTGTTGTGTGTTGTGTTTGTTGTGTTTAGTTTATTGTGTTTAGTGTGTTGTGTTTAGCGTGTTGTGTTTGGCGTGTTGTGTTTAGTGTGTTGTGTATAGTGTGTTGTTTGTTGTGTTGTGTTTGTTGTGTTTAGTGTGTTGTGCTTAGTGTGTTGTGTATAGTGTGTTGTGTTTAGTGTGTTGTGTTTGGCGTGTTGTGTTTAGCGTGTTGTGTTTAGCGTGTTGTGTTTAGCGTGTTGTGTTTAGTGTGTTGTGTTTAGTGTGTTGTGTTTGTTGTGTTTAGTGTGTTGTGTTTAGTGTGTTGTGTTTAGTGTGTTGTGTTTAGTGTGTTGTGTTTAGTGTGTTGTGTTTAGTGTGTTGTGTTTAGTGTGTTGTGTTTAGTGTGTTGTGTTTAGTGTGTTGTGTTTAGTTTGTTGTGTTTAGTGTGTTGTGTTTAGTGTGTTGTGTTTAGCGTGTTGTGTTTGGCGTGTTGTGTTTAGCGTGTTGTGTGTTGTGTTTGTTGTGTTTAGTGTGTTGTGTTTAGTGTGTTGTGTTTGTTGTGTTTAGTGTGTTGTGTTTAGTGTGTTGTGTTTAGTGTGTTGTGTTTAGTGTGTTGTGTTTAGTGTGTTGTGTTTAGTGTGTTGTGTTTAGTTTGTTGTGTTTTGTTTGTTGTGTTTAGTTTGTTGTGTTTAGTGTGTTGTGTTTAGTTTGTTGTGTTTAGTTTGTTGTGTTTAGTTTGTTGTGTTTAGTTTGTTGTGTTTAGTGTTGTTGTGTTTAGTGTGTTGTGTTTAGTGTGTTGTGTTTAGTGTGTTGTGTTTGTTGTATATAGTGTGTTGTGTTTAGTGTGTTGTGTTTAGTGTGTTGTCCTCCCTCACCTCCGATTAGCACGGTTGGGTATGTACGGTGCGAAAGAAGTTCAACATACATATATACATACATACACAAACATAACATATACATCTCTAACTCATATCGCCTCTGTCTTTTGGCTTAATAAGAAAAGATCAATTATTTGCATTAAATTAATTCCTACCCTTCATGTAAGTCGACCAAGAATTCTAATCACATGCGATGCATAAAGATGATCATAGTTGAGTGGGTGACAGACTGATGTCAATTCCAGTGTTGTTTTAGAAAGGCTCTAAATGTGAAATTCACCACAAACATAACTGAGTCTGTGCTTATAAACAGAAGTATCTTTGAAGTCTATTTTAATTTTGTTAAGTTAGACCCCCCCCACACAAAAAAAAGTATATCCTGGAGGTCGATTGGTTTAACTCATAGCACAGGCCCAGCCTACATTTCTAAATTACTTCAAGTTTCTTGCTCAACACTTACGACTCTATGGCCCCCAGTATCAGTGCACATAAACATTCACCGACCTGGAACAGTGACGCTGAAGTTGATGGCAAAGTGAGCCAAGCCCATCGCTGGCTTACGTGTAAGCATTATTTGCATGCGAGTTGCAGCCAAACGCCAAAGCGTATGCTTGTTCAAGTATGGGATGGTGCTCACTTGTTTGGGACACTGGGCCAGTGGTGGCATGTCCACATTCCTACGGTTACTCTGGAGGACAACTACTGCTGATATCCCACACACTTCTTTTTTTCTCACTCAGGATTGTTCTCCACTCATTCCTCTTTGGGGCCATCACCGCAATGACTCCACAGGCCTTTGTATCGTGACTCACCACTCCAAACCAGCTCTCTCTCCAGGCCTGCCCTCTCTGTCCCCGTAATGGTGCTTCCATATTCATCGCCTTCCTGCCAATGTGCCTTTCGTCTCTTCTTCTGGCACGTTCTAGCCATTGGATTGCAATTTGTTTTGGCTCGTCTGAAATGCGTACAACTCTTTGTCTTCCTCGTCCATTCATTCATCGGCATTTTAATTTTGTGGTTTAAAAAAGAAAATTCGATGTAAAATTGTATTTACTTCAAAGGAATTATGCAATACATCCACTCAGCAAAACTGGCATTTTAATTCACAATTAGCTTTTATTTATATTTGCAGGTCGAGTCCTGCGTCACATTAGGATTGAAAAAAAAACTCCGTACATGTACGTAGCACCACCGACTTAATTGTGTTCCCTGTGTGTGTGTGTTTGACAGACGGTCACGTCGCCATCAGTCGGAGGAGCTGCTTGGTCCCCTGCGTGACCTGTCGCTCGTTTTGCTGAGCGAGAAACAAAACGAGGCCAGCTCCAGCGGCTGCCACGGCACCATCAGGCGTAAGCGTCGGGAAATCTGCCGACCGACCGTGATAGCTTCTTCGTCGGCTCAAGACAACCTGCTTGGATTACGTCCGCATTTTTCATCGTCCGTGGTGCTTAGTGCCCGCTCCAGTTAACCAAAGTGCCACTCGACGCTCCTTCCCCCCGGTTTAACGACTTGGCGCCCACTGAGCAACAGGAATTAGGATTATACACAAATCTAATCTTCCAGGTTGCCATTGCAGGCAGCCTTTGCCAATCTTCCACACGACGACGAGCCGGCCCTTCGGTGTTTTTTTTTTTCCTGGAGCCCTGCAGATGCGAAGTCAAACATCTCCGTTTACTTTTCCATTCCAGCTTTTCGGTTAATGTCGACATTAGAATCACATTTTTTTCGCGGAAATTCGAATCCCTTCGTACGTGCGAAACTAAATCAAGGCCCTCGGCGGAGGAGGTGGAGAGATGGCCCTCAAGAGCGAGGATGCGGGGACGAACCGCGCGAAGATGGTCTCGGATGAAAATCTCTTCACGGCTTTTCTCGAGGAAGCCCGCGCCCCGAAGCGGCCCTCTGCGCGGCGCAGGGCCACCATGCCGTCCGGGCGGCTCACTTCGCCCACGGACGCGGAGGACGAAGACCCCGGCCGGGAGGCCGCGTCCGACAGCGGCTTCGACACGAGGGCCTCGGGGAAGACGCCTGGAGCTCTGTCCCCTCCGCGGTACTCCAGGCACTTCCTGTCCGACAACAGCATTTTTCACGGTAAGACGGTGACGATTCCTTATGCGCTCCTTGTCTTTGTTATTTTCGTGTGTGTGTGTATGTATATGTTTTATTCGCATGGTACAAAGTTGCATGTCTGACCCGTTGGGGACTGTGGTGTTAGGCGGATACGTGAAGGGAAGGTTGGACGCGTGAATATTTGTTGAAAAACGACAGCTACACTGCACAAGTGGAACTGTGAACAAAAAATTAAGTGCAAACTGCTATAAACGTGGGGAAATGAATTGCCAGACTTTGGAAGTAAGCGCCACGTACGTGAGATTGAGAATGTCTGGTGCATGAAATGGTCGGATTTGCGAACGTCTGTTGAAAATGACAGTTTCCTTCATATTCTTGGTTCTTTTGGTAAAGTCACGTTGAAGGGAAACAATACAATAAGAAAATATATATAACAATAAAATTCTCACGACGTTTCGACTGTAACACAAACGGTCATCATCAGGTGTGAAAAACCAACGGCAAGAAACATTTGAAAGAAGTGGCGGTTTGTATTTATTTATGTATTTATTTTTAAAACGTTAGCATCACGGAGAGCGATTTGACAGTTTGTTTTAGAAGGACGAGTCCATCTATGCTCTGAAAAGAGGAGGGGGGAGACGAAAAATTAATGTATGCTGTCTGAAAGCCACCGCAAGCGTGAACAATCAATTAAGACCCGAAATGGTTTATAAAATCCCTCCAATGATTGCTAAGCCAGAATCCATCTTCTCGTTTGAAATTGTCTCTGTGTTTGTATATGTGGATAGCCTCATGAACGAATCTCTCATTGTAGCCCGATGGCTTGCAAAGAACCTCTGTCTTGGAGAAGTCAATGTCATGTGAGCCTACTGAATTATAACAGTGAACTGCCACGGCCGAGGTGTTGGTCCTACCGTGTATAAGGTCTGCTTTGTGTTCACGAATGCGGTCCAAGACATGTCATTTGGTTTCTCCAATGTAACTACTACCACAGAGGCAACTTATTTTGTAGACACCAGGGTACTGTATGTCCAGAATCACATCTTTTACAGACGGAACCATATCACGGATTTTATGTAATGTGTTGAAACGGACCTGGATCTTGTGTTTATTCAAGATTTTGGAGATATTTTTTGTGATCCCCGCAATGTAGGGTAAAGTGGTTGTATTGAAAGGCTCCTCAAGAGGGTCCTTCTTCATGGTTTGAGTGATAGCTTTGCGGATTGTATATATAGTCGGAGTAACCATTAGCCTTAAGAGCTTGGTGTACGTGCTTGAGTTCACTGCCTATGTGTTCCTGGTCGGATTTGCATTGGGCTCTATGGTGCAGAGTCTTGATGAGAGAATTCTTCTGTGATGGATGGTGGTGGGAATCTGGTTTCAGGTAAGCATCCGTATGGGTAGATTTCCTGTAGACAGAGTGGCTCATTGAACCATCAGGTCTCTTTTTTATTAGGACATCCAAAAAAGGTAGCTTGCCATCTTTTTCGACTTCCATGGTAAATCTGATGGCTGGGTGTATGGAATTGATGTGGTCGAAGAATTGGTCTAGAGCAGGCCGGCCATGTGGCCAGATGACAAAAGTGTCATCCACGTACCTCTTCCATAAGGTTGGGCGCAGTGGCAATCTGGATGGCGTCAGTCTCAAATTTCTCCATGGAAATGTTGGCTATAACCGGAGATAGGGGGGAGCCCATTGGGGTGCCCTCAGTTTGTTTGTAGAAAGTTCCATTCCAAGTGAAGTATGTATTGGTTAAGCAGTGTCTCACCAGGGGGGGGTACCTCAGTGTTTAGTCCTTGATGACCCAAGTCTTCAATTATTGCGATGGTGTCAGGTACAGGAACTTTGGTGAATAAGGAAACTACATCAAAACTAACAAGCAGGTCGTCTGGGGACAGGGAAATACCCTTGATTGTCGATACCAGGTGAGTAGAATTTTGTACCGCAGAGGTGGTTTTTCCAGTGAAAGGCCGCAGGATTTGAGACGGAAAACGAGCCAGTTTGTAGGTGGGGGAGTTGATAGTAGAGACGATGGGACGAAGGGGTGTATCTACTTTATTTATTTTTGGTAAGCCGTATAATCTTGGTGGCCTGGCAGCAGAAGGTTTCAACGAAAACTGTTTAGTTTGATCAATTAATGTGGTTGAATCAGAAATTATTTTGTTGGTTTGTGTGACGACGCTGTTGGTGGGATCTCTTTTTATTTTTGTATCGCTGCCATCGTCGAGTAATTCTTTAATTTTGTTGTTATATTCTATTTTATCCATGATGACAGTAGCATTGCCTCTGTCGGCTGAGAGGATTACAATGTCATCCCTCTTTTTTAATTTATTTAATTCAAAACGCTCATCTTTGCTGAGGTTGCTAGCTGTCATCTCAGCGTTTTTGAGGGTTGCAGCGATTTCAGATCTTGCTGATTTTGTACGACAAATACTTATTTCCCTCATTAAAATGCAAATCAATTTATAACATTTTTGACATGCGTTTTTCTGTATTTTGTTGTTGTTATTCTGTCTCTCACTGTTCAAATAAACCTACCATTAAAATTATAGACTGATCATTTCTTTGTCAGTGGGCAAACGTAAAAAAGTCAGTAGGGGATCAAATACTTTTTTTTTCCCTCGCTGTACGTGTTAAACTGGATTGCACTATAGACATAATTCCTGTAGCGCACGTGGCGCGAGAGGACACGTTGGACTTTCTTTGTTTACGCCACTGCTGGGCGGCGGGAACACTTGACGCAATACCTCTAAAGCCGTTGTACCAACGTTGTCGGAACTGCACTGAAAGTTTGAACGGTGTTCGTGCCCCGCCCTTGCAAAGTAAGACAAACCGATGGCGCGGACGCTCTACCGCATGTGACAATCTGTGTGGTGTAACAGTTGCTTTAACAATCTCTACACAGAGTGGTTGGAAGTTACAGCCGTTTGTCATTTCGCTTTCTCGTGGGTGTCATCTTCCCCTCGCAGGCGATCGGAGATTTGCATGAAATAAATTCGTCCCATGCGGCCGGATGGCACAGGAACAAAATAAAAATGTTACTTGCGTAGCAATCGCTGATGCGGGCATTGGGATCACTGCTGACCACCAACATCCCCCCCCCCTTGCCCCTGCTGACAAAATTTACTCGGCTGTTGTTGAGGCCCCCCCCCCCCCCCACCGCGTCCTTCACTCGCAATTTCTCACGCGGAACAAAATAATTGTGACTCTGGAGGCATTGCGATGCAATGCTTTGTTTCGATGTTCACTCACTTAATGATAGACTGTGAATACGTTTCTCCGGCAATAACATCTTGCTGCATGGACATAGAAGGAAACCTGTTAATATAGTAGTCTACAAGCTCGAAGGCCTGCTCAGTGATTTTGAAAGAATGCACGATTTTTAAAATGCGACTGGACATTGGACTACTGTTATTAGCATTCATTATCCTGAATTTTATAAGCACACAAAGCAAAGGCTTGTGTCAACATATACATTTCACACTTCATAATAAATAAATACAATTTGTGTAGTCATTGAGTTACTCGTTGAAATGTAATGTTCCATTGTAAAGTTGGCGGTTGTACGTTAAACGTGGTCTTATGCGGTTGTATTTGAATGTAAACAAAACAACGAAACCGCATTGGAGACAAAGGTGGCACAATCACGCCGTTGTGCATTACGATGCCCATAATAATATTGCTGCCCTCAATTTCATGTCACGTCCACTTCACAAATCACATCTAGCCCATGCTGAGGAATGTAACAATGCGTAGCATTATTCTGTTGAGTCTTGAGTCTGAAGAACGTGTTTGCCTCGACATGCCTGGCCACTTTCGCTCGCGACTGTTTCGCCGCTCGGAATGAAAGCAAAGTCACAGGTAAAAAAAAAATGTTTCGCACACAGCGGGTGCAGCACGCACATATATCCGCAGCACGCACATATATCCGCAGCACGCACATATATCCGCAGCATAGACCGTTGCAGGAATCCACAACTCAACTCCCATCTCCTCAGGGACGGAGCCAGGATTTTGACTTTGGGGGGAGCTGACTTCAATATTCTGAGATATCCAGTGTAATGTTTTCCCAATGGGCGCCACAAATGTATAAAACAAATTTCATTGGATTTGAACGCGGAGTTTATTAATAGGTCGGAGCCGCTGATGTGGCTGATAAGTTCGATAAGTTCGAAAGGCTGCCGCTCAAACAGCCTACAGGGCAGCACAAGGTGGCAGCCTGCAGGGCAGCACAAGGTGGCAGCCTGCAGGGCAGCACAAGGTGGCAGCCTGCAGGGCAGCACAGCCCCCCCCTGTGGCTCCGCCCCTGCATCTCCTGCACACCACTGTAGCCTTAACCTACGACTCAGGGGTGGGGAACGTCCGGCCCGCGGGCCGTAAAGGGCCCGCGAAATCATTTGGTCTCTGGCCCTGCCAAGGCAACCACAGGCGGGACTCGAAATTCAATCAATCTAGGAGCAAACCTGGAAAAGCAGTTGCGAGTAGCAACAACATCATCAATACCGGCTAACATCATCACACGCCTCGCCAAAGAGAGGCAGTTCCAGCCATCGCATTAGGGGCGAGTTAATTAAATGTTTGACCAAATATAACGGGTTAATTTTTAAGTTGATAATTTTATATGGCCAGCGAATGATGTTACAAATACCCAAATGGCCCTTGGCCAACCTTCCCCTGGAGTAGGGGAGGGCTGGGGTAGGGGAGGGCTGGGGTAGGGGAAGGCTGGGGTAGGGGAAGGCTGGGGTAGGGAAGGGCTGGGGTAGGGGAAGGCTGGGGTAGGGGAGGGCTGGGGTAGGGGAAGGATGGGGTAAGAGAAGGCTGAGTAGGAGAAGGCTGGGGTATGCCCGGGCAGTATCGCTCCCAAGTACCGAACCACGTTCGTGCCTGACAACATCGTGATGCGTTCGGGGTGATCGGCCCGAATGGAACTTTGTGTCATATTTATGATCTAAGACATCTCTGCTGTTTTGAATGCAAATCTGCGCCTTCGGACTGTGCCACCAAAGAACTGGGCATTGTT